CTTCTTCACAGTGAGGGTGACAGAGCACTGGAACAGGCTGCCCAGAGAGGTTGTGGAGTCTCCTTCTCTGGAGACACTCAAAGCCCGCCTGGATGCGTTCCTGTGTGATCTGATCCCAGTGTTCCTGCTCCGGCAGGGGGATTGGACTAGATGATCTTTCAAGGTCCCTTCTAATCTCTAACATTCTGTGATTCTGTGGCTACAGTGCCTAAGCCCCTGTCTTTTTTTTTTTTTTTTTTTTCTCTTTTTTAAAGGGAGAACAGAGAAAAGGAAAACTAATCTAGTTCTTAAAGAAGTGTTTGAGAAGCTGTCTGAGTAACCAGGTGACACAGTTAGTTTCTCCATACTGCTTTAAGTCTTGCTTAGTCCCCACCTGGGCAGCCTCAGGAGATAAGGAATCAAACTGGTAAAAGTTATGAAAAGTCCCTCCCGAAAAAGGCAGAAGATATCTAAATCAATCATGCAAGTCTGTTTCTTATCTGCCTTTCATTCTTCTGCTAGTGTGAGATAATTTTCAAGCTAAAAAGGCAGCTTTTAATAACCACAAACCCCCACACATTTTCTTGAGTGCTCACTTGGAAACTGCATTTGCTAATCCCCTCCCTTTCCCACCTGCGAACCCCTGGGTGGGGGATGCTGGGGTGGGGGTCCTGTGTGAGGCTGGTTGGGGCAATTAAGGCCCATGGCTGCCTTTGAACCCTGGGCAGCATCCTCCCTTTCTGGCTGGCCCCACACCCTCCAAGAGCAGAGTTTCAAGGAGTACTTGCTGTGGAAAGCCTAAATCTGGGGTGGAGCATGCGCCTTTTCTGTTGGTTCCTGAGCATGCTCCTCAGGGTGGCAGCCCTGCCGGTTGGTGGGGAGGGAGCTTCCACTGGGTAGAGTCCAAAATTTGCTTTGCTGGTGCCCTGGCTGCTGTGGCCCCGTGGCTGATGGTGGTAGAAAGGTTGTGGGTGCTGAGGCTTCAGGATGGAGACATGAAAATCTGAGTGAGCCTGCAGAGATCCTGGGGATGCACGCAGCAGGTAACAGGGATGATCAGCAATGGTCAGGGTGTACACATGCGCTCAATACAAAGACAGACCTGGTCAAGGGCTGTGGCCAGATGGTGCCGGTTGTCTGCATGCCCTGTGTAAGCACCGGCATCGTTGGCTTTGCCTGGCGGGGTTGGGAGCAGGAGTTGGACAGGGACAGAGTTGTGCAAGCAGGTCACTGGCTGCAGGTATGCGTGCAGCAGCTGGCATGACTGGGTGGCTTTGGGGGCAGTGGAGGGAGTGTGCGCAGACCCTGCATGACTGAACCCAGCCTTCATAGCAATCAGCTGTGGGGCAGCCTCAGGAATTTCTCTGCTTGCATCTCTGGCATAAAATCACATCATGATTTTCATAAAATCACAACATGTGATTGTATTGCTTATAGCAAAAAATCAATTTTTCTGTTTTGTTTATATTGGATATGCAGCAGTGGCTGCTGTATCAGTCTTTTCTTCTTTTCACCTGTTTTGAAATGCACAAAACCAGTTTTAAACAGAGTATCTTGATGGATTACTTGTATTTAGGGCAGAAAAATCCTGCAGTGATCAGAGCTCTAGATAACCCAGGTGTGAATTCAGACTGAGAATTACTTTTGAAGTCTTGTATACTGTACACCACAAATGACATTAACACACGGTTCTTCATTTGACTCTTATGAAGCTGTACTCTTCTAGGGGGAGGCTTCTCATAGATTTAATTTACCTTTTCTTAATCTAGTATTTTGCTTTGATGTGTTGGACAGGGTAAATCTTTCCATTTGGAGTGCTATGTACCTGTGGTGAGTAACAAAACAGCTGATGAATAAAGTCTTTCTAATGAACAGTGTTCAGTGAGATCGGACATATGGTGAGGAAAGGCCACTCTCTTCACTCTTCCCCTCTTCCTTTCATTCAAAAAAGGAAATAAAACTCCACGTGTCTGAAAAGACAGCGGTGCCTTTCAGGTCAGCAAGTTTCAGAAGAACCAGAAATTAAGTCTTTCAATGCAAAAGAAGTATTTCGAAGTTCAAAGCAAAGTTTAGGCAACTGTCTAAAACTTCAGCTCCTGTTAATACTGCCCTTTTTTGAGGCAAATGATGGTACAGTGAGTACTGGCAGTGATGCACAAGCTGGTCAGACTCCTTGAACTAAAGATGTCCCAAAATGAGGTACCTGTTCCATGACACCGTGGGGGCTGGATCTAACCTGTGGGGCTGAGCCCTCCAACAGCACCCTCAAGAGTTCAACTGCACTGTTGGCTGCTTGAGAGTGAGCAATGCTTTCCCCACCTGCAAATAAAACACACAGACAACAACTCAGCAGGACTTTAAGGACAGGAGGGGAGGCAGAGGAAGGCTGTCCCAACCGTCGGACCCTCAGCTGCTGCCTTCTCCTCCCGCCCTGCCCAGCCCACCCTGGGCAAGCTCACAAGCAGGCTGATTTGGCACCACTAACACATGCTCAGCCCCAGGGGGTTAAGAGCCTAATCTGGCATTTTGTGAGCAGAGATGGAGGTGGTTATCACCATTCCGGTGGCCAGGGTGCCCATGCTGAGAGCCGCCTGACAGGTCTGCCGCCGCTTACTCCTCCTCATGGCTTTTGCAGCTCTTATCTTTGCCAGGTGAAGCAAAGCCCTCCAACAACAGCTCCTGGGCATGGCACCCTTGCTTTTCTTCTTGATGGGAGACAAGTGGCATGCAGGAGCCCTTCCCCATACAGCAGAAATCCTACTTGGAGTCCCTTGCAGTTCATAAAAATAAGTAAACGTGTCCCTCATTCCATCCCTGATTCCCCCGTTGGCTGCCCCACAGCTGGCAGACGCTGTGTCCCTGGGAGCCGTCCCCTGGCTCAGTGCAGCCATCTCGGCAGGCTTCCCTTCCACGCCTGAACACGCGGACGCCAGCACTGGCAATACCTGCGAGGACACACCCAGGAATGGGCTTGCTTGTGCAACCAATATCACGTTTCCCTCCTCCTGTGCTTCAGTAATACTTCCCTAGAAATTAGCTATAGGGAGTTTTATCCAGGGAAAGCTTTTAAAGCTCACCCCTCCCCTTCTGCAGCCCTTACAGTGTGAGAATTAAGCTTTGGAAGAGGAGTGGACAGGCGGTAGGGGCAGGACCATCTTCAGCATCCCTGTTTAAATCACAGCCTGCTTCATGCTAAGCATGAGCAGTTGTATTTTTTTTTCTTCTCCTTTGTGGCTCAATTGGTCACCACTCCTCATGCAATTGGGTAATAGTCTTATGGCAGCTTTAGGAACTGTGTATGCAAAAAAGTTTCTCTTCTTAAAAAAAAAAAAAAAATTAATGCTTTCAGGGGAGTTTAGCCTCCAGAAATAGGAGAGGGCTCACGCTACGTGACTAGGCAGCATTACGTGAACCATCTGCACGTACACCATGGCCCATATGCCACAGTTTAAAACTTCTTATGCAGAGCTGACCGTAGGAAATACTGACTGAAAAGAAAAATATACCAGAGCCTCCATGTTCTATTCATAACCAGATGACTCCAGTGCAGTGTGGTGATCAGGTTTTTAAGTTAGCAACAAAAATAACAGGAAGTACAGATTGCCGATGCTTCTGAAGTTGTTATTCTTGATTACATGTTGTCTGTGCAAAGATTTAATATGCCTTTGTGTCATGATGCACAACTCAGTTTACAATAACTTAAAGAAAAATTGCAATCTTATGTTAGAACTGTCATTTTAATGAAGAATCTATTGGAGCTAAGTTAACTCTGCTGAAAGTTGGGATGATGACCAGAATGACTAGGTTTTATCAGTGGCACTGCTTTTAAATGGCTTTGTAATACTGACCAACAAATAAACTTATCACTCAGGGTAGTTGATGAGGATAATATGTATCTAGCTGTGGGTGCATAATTCACCTATCAAATACTGAGAATACCTTGATGTTTGTAAATCATAATGAGACATCTGGATTAAAATACAAAATAGTTTATTAATGAATAATTACCCACCAGATTTGTATGCAATTAATTTCTCCTTTAGTCAGGTATCATCTTGATTTCTGTTTGTGGAATAAAGAAACATAAAATCCTCTCTAAAGGTAGAAGAACCAAACTGCGAACATTCATTTTGTTCTCCCTTTTGCTAGTATAACTTCAACAGCATGACATAGCGCCTTTTTTTTTTCCCTCTTAACTTTCCAACTTCTAGCCCTGCATTTTGGGTCAGCTGCTCTGCAGTTGGGCCACTTACTCTTGTTCTGCAAAACTATAAGACTTGGGAGACTGTCTGGGTGTTTTTAACACCCAGGGAAGGTAAGTACCCAAATTTATTTTTAAATAAAGTGTGAGGGCTTAATTCAGTGACACCCTTTTGATCTATGTGCAGAGATACTTTAAAATTACAACCCACAGATTTCTCCTACTATTCCAATAATTGATCTTCATTTACTTCAGCTGCAGGTATCATCTAGCAGCAAACCATGGGCAATTTCAAAGGGCACGCCCTCCCTGGAAGCTTCTTCCTTCTTTTTGGCTTATGGTGGTCAGTGAAGTATCCACTGAAGTATGCATGTCGAAAAAACAAGAACGCTTGCTATCTTGGTTCAAGGGCAGGATTTCAGCGCCTGGAGTTTGTTGAGGGGATCATCAAAGCTGTCTTTGCCTTGATTGGTAAGCAAGGTGGACTTGGGGCAGACAATAAAATGCTGTGCCTTTTAACACTTTTTTTTTTTTTAATTTTGTTCTCTGATAAAACATATCTATTCTGTTTTGGTAATTTCTCCTTTAAAACCACAAATCCACAAACTAGCGAGGCCACTGCTATTAATGACATACCTACAACTGTAATGTGGTTTCCATCCGTAGCACCCTTCTGGAGCTTTTTTAAGGTCTCCTGACTACTTCACAGCTGGTTCTTCTGAGTGCTCCTATGCTGTTCACTGCTCCAGGGAAGAAGATAAGATTTTTAGGCAAGGGACTCCCACATGCAGCCTGGGAGCACCAGACTGTGGAGGCACTGCTTTTTTATTTTGAATCCAGCCAATGCAGATATCAGTAGTCTCTACTGAGTTATTGATAAAATATGTAAATGCAGATGCTTCTTCATTAATGTCATTTGAAAGTGAAAATATTCACAAAGAAAGACTGAACTCCAGATCTTATTGCTGCAGGACTGCTGCAGTGGGGCAGGGTGGGGGGATGTGTGTCCTGTTTCTCCTTCTATTGTGGACTGACCTGGCTGCAAACTCACGGGGATGGTTTAGTGAGCTGTGCAGCCAACTGGAAGTCCTTAGTTCTTGCTTACCTTCCAGCATGCTGTATGTTAGCAATTTACCTTTATAGAGTAAGTAAACTAAATAACAGGGGAGGAGGGGTGTTCAGCACATGTTGGTCACAAGCTGAGAGGATCTTAACTGTCAGTATTTTTAGATTTTAGATTCTATCTGCTCTTCTTTAGATGCTCAGAGTTGCCTGGTGTCTAATCAATGGGCAGGTTGTGCCAAAATCTTCTTCCTGCTTTTCCTTCCTCTGTATCAGTTAAGATTCATCAGTATTGAAGTGTTGTTGTGTGTACAGTATATACTTTGATATGCCTTAAAAAATTATCAAAACCTAAATAATAGTGTTCGCTTTGAGGTGTGAATGGGGTTGTTCGCTTTGAGGTGTGAATGGGGTTATCTTTCCTAAAAAATTCCTATTCAGTGATTAGAGGTAGTTGGGCAGCGAAAACACTCATCTAGTGTTTTTTATTTTCACCATGAAACAAAAAGCTATTATTTTAACATATGGGAATTTCAGTTCCAGTCAATAACGTGGATAAGAAAGCCTGACAAGAACAAACACTAAAAGCAGAAGAGGAGTAAAAGCTCCTGTTTCTGTGTTAGGAAAACTTGAAATAAAGGTGGAAAAACACTGCATTTGCTCTGCAGCATATCAACTTATACAGCAGGATGTTGGCTGACACTTCAGAAACAACAGCATTAACTTTAATGTCTTAAAAGCGTAACGTATTTTAAACCCTTCCCAAACTTCACTGATCATATAAAGTATCTAAAAGCGGCTTTCCCCTTTCTGGAGTCCTGCAGCTAGTTAGCAAGACACCAAGGGGCCAAGGTAAGGGAGGCGGTGGAGCAGAATTCAAATACTAACTCAGTATATATTCTCATGGGACCTTTAATAACTCTGCACAGTGGAGGGATTTCCTTTTATGGCTTTATAGGAAAAATCCCCTTTGAATTAAGAGTTTGAACTCTACCATCCTGCATAATGCAGGGGACTGAAACGGTAAATCTTTCTTTTGGGGACTTTAGCATGTGGTAAGCTCATGTTTGAACCACTGGGAAAGGCGGCTGAAAAATTCAGTCAGAGGACTACTACAATAGCAATTGTTGTTTTTTTGGGTTTTTTTTTTGTTCCTTTGGCTGAAAAATTCAGTCAGAGGACTACTACTATAGCAATTGTTGTTTTTTTTTTTTTTTTTGTTCCTTTAAAAAAAAACCACAAAAAAACCCCCAAACAAACCACAGAATAGCTGTCTCCATTTTCACTGCTGGAAACTGCAAGATGCTAACAGTCCCACCAGGAGTGGAGCTGAAGCCTGGTTTCCTCTGGCATTCTCCTCTCTGGATTATGTGATGTGTAATATATGCTTGAGCTCACTCTGTGGTCTTTCCCTCAGCAAAGCAACTTATTTCATCTCTCTTCCACCCACTGCCTATTTGCTTTAAAATTTATATAAAAGTTAATATATTTGAAGCCCCTGTGCATTTTCACTTGAATTTGGCCTGTTAAAAACTTCACTGGGAATGACTGAACTAGAAAGAAGGGAGCAAAACATAGCAACCACCCAGAACAGTTCTGAGGAAGGAAGACTAAACCCCAAATTCTGTTATGCTGTTGGGAGTATATTGTTGCCTCTATTGTTTGTATAAAGACTTATCACCATCTATACCTTAACCACCAGACAAATAGTTATACTTGTCGTTTCATGTGCAGGAATGGTGGCTGAGCAGTTTGTTCCTGATGGACCTCATCTGAAGTTGTATAATTATGAGGAAAAGCACTGGGATCACTTGATGAACTGGCAACATGCCACCATGTACCTCTTCTACGGTATTTCAGGGTTGGTTGACATTGTGGCTCACGGGACCAACGCGTTGCCAGTGGCCATGGACAGGATGATGCTTTCCTTAGCAGTGTTTATTGAAGGTGAGTTTACCTCTCTTTGCAGAGGTGTGTATGAGACTTACAGAGGGGTATCACTCTTTGGTCTGGGATTCTCAAGGCAGCCTTAGAGAATGAGCTTTATGGCACCTGACTTTCAGCTCCCCAGAATGCTGAAAAGAAGGTCAGTCTTGGTCATCCTTAAGCTGCTGAGGGTTTGTCTGCACTGAAGCCCAGAAGGACTGTAGAAGTGTGCAGGTACAATCGTGTACCCATTGTAGAGGTGTATCCGTGCCTTCCAAACTGGCTCAGATAGCAACAGATGTTAGACAACATCTAGACAACAGATGTTAGACAACAGATGTCTCAGATGTTATGAGACTAGCAGCACAAGCCTGTTTTGGGTAAGTGCTTAGTAGCTCTGGCATGGGCTTCAACTTATGGACAGACATGGTATGCAAGTTGTTAGCTAAAGCCAGTGTGAGTGCACTTACCTGCGCAGCAACCACATACTGGAATTGCCCTGGAGACACACTCAATTAACATTTTCTGTAAGCACAGTATATCTCACAGCATCCTTCTTGTTACGCTGCAGAGACAGAGGAATGAGACATTTTGTTAGCTTGTTTTAAATAAAAGGTGACAGACCTGCAGCCTCACATGCAATTTCCATGATCTGAGCTCGAGAGTGGAGGTATAGAGTACATAGGCATCATTCTTAAAAATTAGTCTCAGTTCAGCAGAGAAGGTGATACTGGCATAAAGAAAAATGCTAAAGGTTCACTGTTTTCTAAAAGTAGGTGAAGGGAGATTACAAGGAAAGAAAATATCTTAAACTGCTCACTTAATTCATTCCAGGTTTTCTCTTTTGCTACCACCTTCATGGGAGAGCCATGCTGGATGTTCATGTTCATCAGCTATTGCTATTTGCTATCTTTGGAGCTGCTGTTTGCATATTTCTGGAAGTTTTCTTTCGTGGCAGTATTGTGCTAGAGATGCTCCGTACAAGTCTCTGCATGTTACAAGGCAGCTGGTTCTGGCAGGTAGGTCAGTTTTCTGCCTTAGGAATTTCTTCTTTCACTAAAATGAGTAATTTACCCTTTTGCAGATGTTTCATAGGTGATATTGTATGCCTCTTAAGCACAGATCTCAAAGGATTTAGTGCACTCTTAATGTCCCTTTAAAGAGATAAAAATATTTCTCATATCCATTTTATGGAAGAGGCCATTTTCCTTCTAGCGCCTTTTATCTAAATCAATAAAAAAGCTAAGGCTGTTTGCCCTTGCTGCAGTGATTGACCATTCCTTCTGATCCCTGTAACACCCTGTTCCAAATTTGGCAGCCAAATGACAGTTATTTCAGGGCCGGGCAATATATGCTGTTCTTTACACAGTCCCCATTGTCAGCTGCCGGCGCAGTGAGTAGATGCCCAGTGGAGTACCGCACAGGTGAGGCAAAGCACTCATGGACATTGCCAGGTTCAAAAGGTCTTTAAGCTCCTGATCTGCATTAAGAGATTGGGTGATGTAAAGCCGCCTGCTTTTCCAGTGCTCTGGAAACTGAGCAGAAGAAGTAACAGCTGAAACTTTGTTATTTCAGGGATGTGGCTCCTGAAAGGACTCTTTAAAATGTACCTTCTACACCCTCACTTCCTTGTGATTCTATTCAATTGATAGATATTTGATTGCAACACTTTCTCTGCTGTCAGAACAAGAGAAAGAATTTAATGAACTGCTGTGATCTTGTAACAAAGAAACAGGAGCGCTAGTGCCGATGTGTGTTTCAGCTTATAGTGGAGAACTGAGGTCACTCCAGTGATTTTTCTTTCCAGTATGTCTAGACGGGTTTCCCTTTTTCATATGCTGTCCAGACACCATGAATAAAAACATTTGCTGTTCCTTAGGAGAACTGGGCACCCAGCACCAAATCAAATATTTAAATACTTGCTCTGGCAAGAAGACAGACCCCTGAAACTGCAGTATTTGTCTATAAGTGAACTCAAGAACATGGTGCTGCAGCACTTGGTGTTTTATTTTCTTGTTTGTAAACTTTTATTTGGTCTCTTAAGAAGCTTTACATAAGAAGAGTTAGATGCAACTTTTTTTTGCTTTGTTGCCTGCCTAGTCTAGTTTTAGAACAAGTTATTTATTTAGCTCTGGAGATAATGTGGTTTTTGTTTCAAAGTAAAAAAAAAAAATTGAAGAACTAAAAATACAAGAGATTTAAGCGTGGCTTCTTTCACACCCACATCAGACTTCAACCATGTGTGTGACTGAAAACCACATCCTGGCTGCAGCATGACAAACTTGTAAAAAGTAAAGGGATTTACTTTCTGCATCATCAACACCCTCATTCATTGAATTCTCTGCATGGAAATGCAAAATGCACTCCTCCCCTCCTCCTTCCTCTCCTCCTCTTCCCAGCTCCTAAATTCTCAGCTAAACTGCTAAGCGATGACTTTGAGGAGTATTAGGCAGTAGAGAGGACTGGTGCTTGTTATGCAGACCCCTGTGTAGCCACGGGATTACTAGTTTCCCAGCTTGTGCATTAATATGAATTTGATCGTTCCCAGCTCTGAATAAACAAATCAGCTATGTATTTCACATGAACTTATAGCCTCGGGTGTGAAACCTTCATTTTAATGTAATTTCAAAACCTGACCTTTTTCCTGGATGCCCGAGAAGAAATAAACTTATGGCTTGCCTTTATTTATTAATTTATTATTTGTCTTCTGAACCATGTAACACATTCCTGGATGCTCTTGGGAAGAAGCGAGTCAGTGCAAACGGCCAGGCAGGTTTGCTGGTTGGTGATGTGTTTGCAGTTCAGACCATACATGGCTGAGCATCAGCCCCTTTCCTTCCAGCATGTGATTGTGATTGTTGCAGGACTTGTAGGGCAGGGTCCTTAATTCTCTGGGCAAGAGCAGGGTGTCTCTGGGACTGGCACTGCATCTTCAAAGGCATTTCCACACAGAACTGTGTAAAATGATCCATGACATCTGAGTGTGACTGTAAAATTATCTTTAATAATAACCACAGAAATAATCAGCACTAAAAGAAAATGAAACATCTGCTTTGTGATGGGTAGCTTAAAACATAATGTGACATAGGACACACATCAAATGACATTTGCTAATTATCTTTTGTTTTATTACAGATTGGCTTTGTACTTTATCCTCCAAATGGGAGCCCAGAGTGGAATCAGACGGATCATACTAATATGATGTTCCTGACCATGTGCTATTGCTGGCATTATGCCTTTGCTTTTCTTATACTTGCAGTGAATTACACAATTGTCAGCTGGTAAGTTACTTGAAACACTAAAAATTTGGAGACCTGTCTATTTAGTCTACAGGAGCTTTATTTTAGAAAGGTTTCAGTATCAAATCCAAAGGTTTCCACAAGGTAATTAATTGTCTTACAAGGTAAAATAAAAATTGATATTGCAAATCAATGAAGACAATATGACTCATTGCTTCAGTAGAAAGGGGAGAAATAGTCATGAAGTACAGCTCTGACAGCATAACGCTTCCTGCATAAAATGAATGTTCTTCGATAGGCTTCTACATTTTTAAGTGCATATAAAGTATAGAAGTAGGAGCAACTTTTTTTCCTACAACATCTTCTCTCCCAGTGCTCATCTCTACTAATTCTAAGTGGCTTAGTCAGTAGGCTTCATGACTTAACTTTGAAGACTTTAACTTTGGACAGGTTTCATTGCTAGCAATTTCCTGTGATCAGACCTGATTTCTATTTCACTTGTCAGTTTCATCCCCTAGTTTCTAAAGCCCTTTTCCTTGCTGCCCAGTGCTAATTCTGGCAAAATTACAACTGCAGTGTTAACTTGGTTGTAAAAATGAGCTTCTCACCTATTGATCATGCTTTGGCCATATGTAGTTCTTGCAGTCTTGTTTTGCATGCCATCACTATCATTTGTAATGCTTGAAATCACTATCTACTCATTACAATGTCTTCCACGGTGGCCCACTACAAGTCTGCATAAGTCAACCACCCTTGCTCCCTGATGAGATACAAGAATTAAGCAGTTTTTTACCATGTAAAAATGTCCAGATGAGCCTTGGAGTTACTATTTGATTTCTAAGATGTATGACAACTCTTTTTTTGTTGTTGTTTTCAGGGTGGTTCGTTCAAAGGTTAAACGGTCCCAGTCCATGGAAATGGGATTACTGAAAACATGTGAACGAGATCAGGAGTCAGAAGATGAAATTTAGTATGAATATGGCTTGACTAGTTTACCTGCTCTGCCATTAGGCTAATTGATACCTCATTTCTACATTTGTTTGCCATCTTATTCTTTACTAAAACTTGCTATGCAAATATCATCCCCCAAGTGCTGTCTACATCTACACAGTTACGTCTTTATTGTGGAGGGTAAGCTTGGTATCGATTTGTAGTGGTTGCACTAGTACCTTGCTTATCACATGCTTCAAAGAAAAACAGACTAATATTAGACAGACTTGGATGGGATGAAGTGGCATGATGAAGTTTGCATGCTTGCCTCATCAAAAGTTAAGCAAAATGTTTTTCAGCTGCTGCTGAACGGACTGTTAACTTTCCATAATTAGCATGTCCAAATAAGTGCGTTCGTTGCCCTGCAAGAAACTGTGCATATATAAGTGTATAGACCTGGAAAACAGTAGAACAAGATCAAAAAATCAGTCTTGCAGCTGTCTGGTATAACATCTTCATGTCTCTGCTTGTAGTTTTATGTTCAATGGAAAGAACTATTACTCATTGCAAACCCATTCAGTGTTTCATTGAAGAGCGTGTAGTGTGTTCCCTCCTGCAGAGACACTACCAAGCTTGGTAGGAGGACCAAAGAGGTGTGTGATGATCAACAGCCACTGCAGTTATTCCCTTGTGCACCTAGATAGTGCTGCCTCTTTGCCATCATTTGACTTTGAAAGGCAGCAAAGTGACTCTGCTTCTCCCCAGCACCTGGAGCAGCTTATTTTCCAGAACAGCTGAAGGGTGTGCAAGTGAGGCAGGGCCCAGGTGCAAAGCCAGTTTCTTTCCCAAAGTTATCTCATTTCCTTTGGTGGAATGTGATGGATTTCTGCAGGGTTTGTAGCAGACCCAGCATGTAGGTCAGGAGCGGGCAATGCTGATCTGTGGGCAGGATGAGATGGACTTGCCTCCTTTTCCCTGTGTCATCCCTACAAGTGCTGGGCAGCCTGCAGTACTGCATGGTAAGGTGTGGGAGGGCAGATGTTACCTTCATAGTAGCTCCATGCCCAGCCACCCACAGCACTGAGTGAATTAAAAAAAAAAATATTGTTTTCAAATGTATTTATTTTCTCCACCAAATCTGAAGTCTGATCTGGTGAAAAGCAGGGCACCCTCCCCAGCACTCAGCGTCGCTTGGGATGCGCTCCAACCTCTACAAAAGGGAAATAACTGACATATGGCAAAAGACATCAGAAAATGATGTTGCATATAAGCACACTGCCCCTAAGGGGTGGACCTTTGAAGCATTGCTCTGGCTATAAATGTGTCTTTCGAAAGACTGGCATGCAGCATGCTGTGCCTTGTGGCACAGCAGCACCTACGCTCTGTTTTCCAGAGGACTGCATGCACAGGATGCATGCTGGTGGCCATGGGCCACTTGACATATCCATCAGTGGTAAGGTGGTCGTTATGGAAAACGGCCCCTTCCCTTCAGAACTCCTTCTAAACCCATTATTTTCTAATTATTTTTGGAAACAGGCTAGTTCAGGACAGCAAATTATGTTCAAATAGTGCCAGTTCATCAGGTTTGGTGCTGTAGAAGTGCATTTCTTCTATTGTTCAAATATTTCCAGATGCTCTTAAGGGGATGCAGAGCTGGACTCTGGTAGATGAACAAGAGTTGTAGGATTTGGTCCCTCCACTTTTGAGTTTCCCCTATATTTTTTCAGTGTGAACCAGAAAAATGAGTAGCATAAAATTAATAATTGCAGTAATCTGATTGCTTAAAAAGATAGGTAATAAAGTAGTTTGTAGCTCAAAGGATCCTAGGACTCAGGAAAAAAAAAATTAAAGGCTTTTTCTAAAGCTCTTTTACCTTCAGTGCAACATAAACATTCACTTCATTTTTAGGATCTACCTTTTATCTCCCCTTTTTGAAGGAGAGCCTGCCTTAGCTCCACATGCTGTTAATGCTGAATTTTAGACTGCCAGGTTTATCAATGCCTTTCCAAACTCAGTGAGGTCATTTATTCTGAAGGAGAACTTCAGAAAATACTTTGCTTCTCATATGTAGGAACAATGCAAGTGTCTTCGCTGCTTTTTTTGATAAATATATTTAATACTGTACAAATATAAAGGTGCTGTATCTCTAAGCTAAAGGGGTAACCTAAGCAGTAAGAAAAGCATGACAAACTGGCTGAGCTCTCATACATCTTCTTAGAAGACTTCGGTTGGTCGTTTTTTAAATTATTTTAGATCTCTACCAGGTATTGTGATGAGACACTTGTAACCAGGTGTCAGATTATCCAGATTAATCTACTTTGGAAAGCAAAAATAGTTGGCTCACATACATTTCTACATTTACAAGTGTAAAATGGGAAACTGCAGATTGCTAGCCAAAGAACACTGCTTTTCTTAATAATTGTTTGCCCTTCTTAATGCCTTTCTCTGAAGGGTCTTGGAGATTTTGGCAAACTTCAATGAAGCCTGTCTCAGGGCATTCTTGTAAGTTAGGTATTGGTATGGCATTTTTGTAGCTCCATGTCTCAGCTTCACAGTGGTCTCACTGTAAACTCTGAATTAATTGATATTTACTCTGTTCCGCAAATCTGAGACTTGAGTTTCATTACTGTGGTTCCATTAAAATCAGATTTTCTGTTGGCATAAGCCAGAGGGAAGATCCACGGCTTTGCTGTGTTAACAGCTTGCCTGTTAATTGCAGCAGGGATATATTGGCTAAATGCAGTGTGTCATTACACCCAGCTATAATCTTACCTTCACTGCACCGCATCACTCTTGTCTCTAAATTGATGGGATTTCTTTAAAGGGCAGATTTTTTTTTCCTATTAGCATGGTTGGAGTATAAAGCTTCTGCAGTGCTGGGCAGCAAAGACAATGGTGGTGTATCAAGGAAAACTTGGGCATTATTACAAAAGTCTGTCTGGAGAAGCCAAAATCAGTTGATGAAGTGAGCCTCCTGGGATTCAATAATCTGTGTGAGCTGTGAAGGCAGAGGGTGCCTAGCAAACTCTCCTTTTGAAAAACTTGCTTTTCAGAAACAAAAAGTCCCAGTACTCAAAGGCAATGGCCAGAAGAGCGTCTGCCTGCTGCTATTCCTCGTGTGACTGCCGCAGCCTGGTGACTCTGGCTCTGTCCTTACCCACATCCAGCAGTGGCTGTAGGTCTGTGCGTTTTCTTGGGAGAAAACGTGAGCAGGACTCAGCCTGCTGAAAGGTGTCACCTGTATCACCCTCTGTCTCCCTGCTGTGAATGTCCCGTAAATGATGAGAGAACTGGATGAATAAGCCCATCAGACACATCTGCTGGTTTTGGTGCAACCATGCTTAGCAAAGATGCCTTTAAAGAAGCCCAACCTGGAGGCTAATGCAGTCTGTGACACAGAACTCTAGGGCAGGCTTCTTATGTAAACTCCCTCTTCACGTAAGAGAAGGTGACATTGCATTATTAAGCTTGAAGAAATGCAAGAAAAAACCGATCCTGGAGCCTCAAAGAAACAGTAGTCTCTTGGATTTCATTTTTAATTCTTGCAGTACATGCAGAGTGAGTGTCATTGTGGGGTTTTGTACCTGACGTATTTTTGGTGCCACAAAGGAAAGAAACACCCTGTTTCAGGGTGGGTTTTTGCTGTGCAGAACACCTGACTCGTTCTTCTCAAGCATTGTTCAAAAGAGATGCCCAGGAACAGCAAGGTACCTGTTATGACAAAAAAGTTATAACCTTTGGCATTTCACTAGCAACAGATTTTGCTTGAGTTGAATGAGTGGAGGGAAGCCTGACAAGTTTACAGATGCCACTCAGAAAAAGGTAGCTGCTCTCAAGATAATTTAAATTATTGTTAAATATCGGTGCCTTTGAAAAACTATATGGTAGTTTATAATAGACAAGATATGCCTGTAATTTTATTTAAATAAAATTGATTTATTCATATAAGAGATTTGTCATGTTTTCAGGGGAAAAAATACAACGCTTTATGGGGCAGGATGGGGTGTGATAAGCATGTTACTCTCATGGCCCACCCAGACATTTGAACAAGTTGCACTCAAGTTCAGGAAACATCAGTGTTGCCTTGTCAGATTCCCTTGATTCTGCTATTTAATTGTAATTTACAACACAGGTGAAAGCAACACTTTTTGATGTCTGGGCACTAGAGCTTCACAGATCCACAAAAGTCAAATGCTAAGGAAAAAGGAGGTCCCAGATTTGGATCTGGTCTCCTGTGTCATACAAGATGGAGCAGCCAGCAAGCCAAGTAAACAGAACTGCACAGACGGGATCTTTCTGTTTTGGCATGTTTAATAATAAAAATATTTAGGGTTTTATTTATTTTATTTTATTTTTCCTTCAAAGAAAAAAAACCACAAAAATATTTTTCTGATGTAAGATGAAAATGCATTCTGAAAGAAAAAACTGAGATACTTAAAGAAATGTTGGCAATTACAGATTTTGTCCTCTTCATATTTTTCACTAGTTTCTAAAATTAAAACTAGGGACCATAGTTGACAAAAAATAGCAAATAATTTTGGCCACTCTCCGGCTGCATTTTGGGGGTTAATTGATTATTCATTAAAGATTACAGTCCCATGACTTGCTTTCATCATTCCCTGGATTTGATACCACTTTGCTACCTATTTGACAGAGAGTGGTTTTCATCAACTATGGAGAACTTTGAGTGGGATGCACTTACCTGTACATAAGAAAATGGCTAAATTTCTCCAGGACCAGGTAAGGGAGAGAAAGTCAGCAGTTCCAAATTTCCCATTTTATCTGGTTGCTCACAGATCTGAAAGAGTTCCTTAAGGCTTCTGAAAATTACCAGTCAGGAATTTTAAAAATCTAGAAGTAGCTTTAAATCAACCAATTGGGGAAGCAACCAGCCCACATTAGAAAAGCAAATGTACCAATGTCACCGCACCACCTGGGGTTGGGACTGAGGTCAGCTATCTCAAACCACCTCACCAGCCTGACTGCTTACTCTTGTGGTCGACATCAAGGAAAAGTCTGTGACAGGCTGCATGCCCCATCCCATTCGGGCAATTGTGAAAATGCACATGTTGGCATTGGCTCTGTGTAAGACAGACCAGCTTCAGTGTGTGGCAGAAGTTTGGCTCACAATGGCAAGCTGTTTCCACCTGTGGGGATGACTCGGGGGCTTCTCAGTTGCATCGGCATTGGGGTGAGGCATGGAGGAGGCATTCATGCACGGTATAGGGAGTCTGGTCTTGGGACGGTGTTGCCTGAGCCCAAGAGAGCTCGCTCAACGTTGTCAGCGGGCTGCGGAGGAGTCAGTAGCCCAGAGGAAAGGAGGTTGCAAGCACCCCCTGGACAACCAGGGAAC